ATGGGAAAGGAAACAAAGTGAAATCTCCCGGTTACTTTCCCAACATTACCAAACGTGGGAAAGGAATCTTTCATTCCCATTACTTGGAAAATGACATGGGAATTGATTTCCCCTCAAATCCATTCCGTGAACCAAATGGGGCCTTAGTGACATGGCCAATGAGACACCCAAATGTGTGAAAGAAATAATAAAAGAATTCTTTAAAAATTGGGTAATTTTCACCTTCATAACCTTTTAAGTTTATTGAGTTTCAGCGAAGGTTTTTTCCTCACCGTCACCCAGACACACCCTACCCTCTCATGACCGCCACCCTCCCCCAACCCACCCTCTCGTCGTCGACGCCCACCCGTATCTCCTTACCCCTATCGTCTCCACTTTCTCTCTACCTCGGTTTCTTTTCACTTTCTCTCTCTCTTCCCCCTGTCTCTCTTCAAACAAGCTTCACAGCCCCATCAACACGTCGAGCCGATGGCTTCATCGGGTCGCAGGCGCTGACCAGTTTCCAAACCCAGTCGTTGCGGCAATTTGGGACTGGAGTGAATTGGGTGGGTGATTGTGGAAATTTGGGACTGGAGGGGATTGGGTGGAGTTCGAGTTTTGGGTTCTTATTCAACTGTGTTCAATATCTCATCAGTCTTGTCCTGCAAGACTGCCACAACTGTTGAAATTTTGAAATCCACGTAGAGGTGAAATCCATGACCAGAAAATAATATATTTGGTGATGCCCAATTAAGAAATGCTTCTCCGCAAAAATCACCTTTCTCAAGCTACTTAATTTCTGGAAATTTGATTGAAGAAGAAGGTTGATTTCTGGGTTGTTGGGTGTTTTTTTTCTGGGTTATTACCTCAGGGATTGGGGGATGGGGTTTGGCTGCATTTTTTTTATTCTTACGATCTTATTTTTATTACTAAATAATATAAATGTGAAGTAATATAAAAGTAGAGTAAAAGGAATTTAATGCAAAATAAGGGTAAAACAAGAAAGGGAAAGAACAAAAAAGAACCAAATTGATTAAAAAGTATTAAAAAAACAAAATGGAGTGTAAGTGGAGAAAATGGGAGTGGGGAAATCATCTTCCTTAATTTTTATCGAGTTTTTTATTTAAATCCATTTGACTTTATATAAGTGGATGTATGGGCTCTGTCAATACTCTAATAGAAAATTTGATGGAAGCTAACGGTAGGGACCAATTTGATGTATAGATAGAGAGTGACCTTAAGGACTATTAATGTCACAAAAAAACACTAAGTACGAAAGGTGATAATTTCTTTAAACTCAGGGATCATTTGCGATAAAAAGCCTTAAACTTAAGTGAAGTTACTATTTAGATGAATCATGTGGCTAATATGAAGTCCACGTCTATTGTTCATATATAGCACCCTCACCATAGAATGACTCATGTTTGAAGCATTGGGTCACTTTTAGGCATTCGATTGCATTTAGGAATTCGGCTGCATATCTTATTTTGGGCTTCTAGCCATCCCCATGATTAGGGCCACTCAAACATGGTTTGGGCCAAATGGTGATCCATTTATTGGATTTTGGGCTTGGGCCAGTCAGATTTCAACTAGGCTCAAACAACTAACTATTTAAATTATTTTGGGGAAAAAAATCAATTACATCATGTGTAGTTGTATCTTTGGATGTATCCAATCGTGAAAAGAAAAAAAAAATCAACCACCAAGTATAAAATGATACAATCATGTTTGAAACGAAATTTGGTTAATCCAAAGAGAGTGAGGAATGACTTATATCATGCAAAGCAAAAGAGAGGATATTAATATCCTCCTAATTTATTGAATGGCTAGCCGCACAAGACAAGAAGTAGCAAGAGCATAACTATTATTTATTTTAAAACAAATCTAGCAAGGCAAGATGCATATTCAAAAGAATTAACGATATTTCACCCTCTTCAAGTTTGGGCTCATTATTGAAATGGGCCACAAGATTTCAAGTGGTTAAGAATGTTTAGTCCTGTACATGAGATCATAAGTTTCATTTCCCCTTCCTTCAATATTGGAGATTTCTCACACACACACACAATTATGATGTCGTGGGGATTCGAACTTGAGACCTCTGGTCTGCAAGTCAATGTCCTTTTCTACTGGACTAGATCTCGTTGGCAAGGACCTTAAGAACTATAGAATGACTTGCTAGTTGTGTAACACGATAAGAATTGAATCCATTCCTAATAGCTCGGTTTTGAATATGAGGATGGACAATACAAAGGTAAGTAACACTCCAGGCTTGAGACCTCTGGTCTGCAAGTCAATGTCCTTTTCTACTGGACTAGATCTCGTTGGCAAGGACCTTAAGGACTATAGAATGACTTGCTAGTTGTGTAACACGATAAGAATTGAATCCATTCCTAATAGCTCGGTTTTGAATCTGAGGATGGACAATACAAAGGTAAGTAACACTCCAGGGCAAATCTTATGTATTGATTAGCTTCAGCTCTTTAGGCTACCATTTATAGTAGTTCTTGATTCTTTCTTAAGTAAGTATTGCATGCAGTTAAGAAAGTCCTACCTATGAACATGCTAAACTTCATTAATCCTCCCCGTCAATCACTTAATACCTTACAAGGTAAGAAACCTTCAAGTCCTAATTAGGTAACCTTCATTCTTATTTCTTAAGAAATAGTATGCTCAGGTTTTATTCAATCCACTCAAAAAACAATCAACTTTTAATTTCATGCTCCTTTGTCTTTCAATTGAAAGACTTATTTGATAATAGCATAAGACTAACAAAGCTTAAATACAAGTTATGAAGTGTACCAGATTTGATAAAATGCGCCAAAATGCATGATAGCTAAATGCTGAGGCTCGGAATCCGTTCATCAAATACCATATGCACACATGGGATGTCAATTTTAATATAACCAAATTGAAGCTCTGAAAGTTCCTAGACTTGATGGGTTACATTACATGCAATTTTTATTTCATTTTATCCTACTTCCTAGGAAAGAATTAGATTGTAAGTTTATGGCATGGTCCGGTTTTGTTTAATAATCATGAATCCATTAGAGATATTAACGATACTAAGAACCCATCAAGTTTTGATTTCACTGTTTAATTGCATCCACACGCTAACAAACTCTTACACTATCTAATTACCAACTACTGTTAATTGGGTAACATATGTAAGCCAACATCTACATACATCCAGACATTACATATCCATGATCTCCACTGAACTCTAGAACGCAACTGTGTCGAGTACAGTTCCCAAGGTCTGGGCTATGTTTGAGGACATCATGTTGGAGACATGTTCTTCCAGGTGCTTCTTGGCATCTACCCTTCCCACATTTGCAATTGCAAGCTTCTCCGGCTGCGCATCACCATCCTCTTGCAGTGCATTGTTGTACTTAATAGCTAAGTTGGACATCTCCTACAAAACCCAAATGAAAAGGTATCAAGACTTCAGCACTAAATGACATCTGAATCAAAATCTGCTCACATTCTAAAACATGCTGGAAAAAATTTCCAACAGTCCCATTGTCAAATGGCAGCATATAACCTATTTTTCATTCCATTAGATAAATTTAGTTTTCATTTGGTCACAAATTTTTAACCAGGTAAACAACACCGAGATGAAGCTTAAGCAGATCATTAGAGTTTATGGACAGTGATAGAGCACTGAGACCTGCCTATCAATCAAAATCAGATTTCAAGGTTTCAAAATAGAATAATTTTTCCTATGAGCAGTTTAGCACAAGAAATCAGTTACGACGAAATTTCAGGTCTATGCTGGCCTAGAATTACTTTGCTTAGAACTCTGCCCCCTGTTAACCTTCACACTTAACCATAACCAGCGATAACCTCCTAATGATCCAGAAAGAAAGTGAAGCATACGCAAAGCCAAAGAGGAAACATGCTTCTATATTGAAAAATGTAACTAATATTTCCTTCAGCTATACTTGCCGAACTAAACAAGAATAACCATAACGGGGGCTTCATGAAACCTTGTCTTACCTGAAGAGTCTGTTCATTTGTTTTTGAATGAGCATCAAATTGCCTCATCGTCAGCCCATCAGTCCATGTCTTCTTATGAAGGTTAAGCAACATTTTCTCCTCAAGTCCATTCATCCTGAAATTTACTGCTAGGGAGTAATAATTCCGGTTTAACCCATGGATCAATGCCTGAAGAAGGAAATTACATAAGAGGTCAAAAAATTTAATTGCAAAGAAAAGGGTTTAAAATTTACTTGTTGAGAAACTCATTTGACAGGATGGTTTGTTAAGATGGCCAAGATTGGATGTGGTATGCCACGGTTCTTGGCCAAGCATCACAGTATTTGGATTAATAAGGCGGAAAGCATCGATAACCACCTTACCCTTGCCACTCTGAATGGGGTCCACCACCACAGCCACAGCACGTCGATTTAAGGCTTCAAACCCTGCAAAAGATTACCGGTATAAGAACATAACACAGTTTTCCCAGTATGCTAACCAATGATGCATAAAAAAAAATTCCAGTCAAGGGTATCATCAACATCAGTAGAACATAAACAAACTGAGAAGAGTCAAAATATGCTTCCCTGCAGAAGACCCAATCTTGGGTGATAGGCAGAGGAACAAAAGAGCGTACACACAAATAGACGCCATGTAAATCAACAACATGGAATTTTTGCACATCGATGGGGTAACTATGCTCCCTTGAAAGGTAAAAATTTGGAATAGGACCTAGTGAACTTTGGGTCCAGAGGTTGTTGCCACATTTGGGGGACACACAAGAAAAGAACGAGAGTAGAGTAGGCTGAGGTGATCAAGCAACATGGACAAGATGTCAAGGGAAAAGAGTTCTAAAAGCAGCAACGATTTTTTAACAAAGCCGTCAGAAGCTGGTAATGAACAGTCCATGCATAGCTAGATTATAGAGAAAAATACAAACGACAAATAGAATAGAGAGAAGCTGGTAATGAACAGTCAATGCATAGCTAAAAATTTATACTATACAGAGATTTATTTTGTTTTAAACAAAAAAATAATAATAATAATAAACATGTGCTACATGAGATGCAGGAAAATTGTAATTTTTTGATAAAAAAGCACAACCTGTTGCGTCGTCATGTCCACGCCAGATAACCAACAGCCAAATCCAGGATGCGAATGGTACCAGCCTACGACCATCTCAAGTCTGCAATTTCAGTCAGAAGAAGATAAATTACGACAAGAACAAGACGGAGCAACATGGAGAGTAAAGCATGACAAAAATAAAAAGATCATGTACAAGTATCATCTGTTAGGATAGTTAAGAATGAAGGTGTGCATCATGCATTAACATTATAAGAACACAGATGCGTAACATGGAGAGGAAACTATGACATTAAAAATAAAATGAAAGTATTGAATGTAATTTTATCATCTTTCAATTGAATGTGAATTATGCAAAGGACACAAGTAGGAATCACATATTAATATCAGGGCAAGCGAATGTGAATACCATAAGGAATAATGTATGATGAATTAAAATTTAGGTTTTAAAGAGATGCAAATCGAGTACACAACTACCCTAACAGCTACAAGTTTAGCTGGTTAATCAAAGTGAAAGAAGAGGAGTATTGACCGTTGAGTTTGCTTAAGCATATCGAGCATATCAGTCTGGAAGACATGATCTATGGCCTCGAGACTGACACCAGTACCACGCTGCGGCATCGCAACGACTTCCACAACATAAGTTGTGTATTCATCAGGAAAGCTTTCCGAGCAACAAGCCCATGACCTCCAAAGGAATCCCGGCTCTCCCTATTAATAATCAAATTTGCTAGAATGAGTACTGAGTTGTGAACAAAAACTAAATTGCATAGGCATGAAAGGAAAAACAACAACAATAGAAAAATAAAAAAGAGGGTCCAATCCAATCATCAGAATCAGGGCAACTCAAAATCCTCCCAGAAACCCTAGTTAAGATCTGCAAGTAAGGCATAATTTGGATAAGATTCATTTCATAAAGGCAACAATAACTTAGTTATGGTTTTGAAGTCCAACCCATAGATAAACCGAATGTAAGCAGCTAAGAAAACAATGTAAAAACCCTAAACCAGAAAGTTGGGGAGCCTACCGTGAGTGAGCATTTTGAGAAGGGAGACTAGGGAGATGTTAACCTACTCCGAGGAATCGGGAGTTGGCTGGCCCAAACCCTCTCCGGCATTGGCGTCGAAAATTGTCCGAAACATCACTCTCTCTCTCTCTCTGTCTCTCTCTCTCTGTGTTTAAGCCCCAAACTATATTAGAAATATGTAAGCTATCTATCTAGCGTGTCCACAAAGAAACCTTGGTATTAGGCTTCTAGTGTGAATTGTAGGAATGTGCCCAGAATACAGGTTATGTTAAGGTGGGAGCCGCCTGGAAGTGGGTGGGTTAAGCTCAATGTGGATGGCACTTGCATGAATGCTTCTGGGAATATTGGTGCTGGTGGTGTGATTAGAGATTGCTTTGGGGAGTGGTGTGGAGGGTTTGCTGTGAATTTGGGGAAGCGGCATATTTTGGATGCTGAAATCTGCGGTTCGTTTTTTGGCCTTCAATTAGCAGTGGCAAAGGGCTTCACCAAGATCCTCATAGAAATGGATTCTCAGAGTGCTGTGAATCTTTTCAAGAAAAGGGATTCTCTTTGTTTTCATCCTCTAGCTGCTTTGCTTTCAAACTGTGGGAAGATGCTTAGGCATTTTGAAAGTTGGAATATCCAGCATATTTTCAGAGAGAAGAATGGTTTGGCGGATTGCCCGTTCTGTTTTTCTGGGTTTTATCAAAAAATAAAGGGACAAATTTGGTATTTCATCCATATTCTTTCTAGAGATTTTTATTCAAAAACCCACTTTTAACATGACATTTATACAAAAACTTAGAGCCTATTTTATAAGAACCAATTAGAAAATAACAAGTGGCTAGTTTTGGGTTTTCACTCCAAATGGCTTTATAAGTGCTTTTGTATATTAAGTCATGCTAAAATGAGTTTATTAGTGAAATTGTCATATTTCTCTATCACATCATCATCTTCCCATTAAAATGAGGTTTGGAGATTCTCTTTCCATTCTTTCTCCCAAGGAATTGAAAATTGCATAGAATTCTTAAATGACAAAATTTAAATCTCTACCGTTTAAATTTCTAGCAATTAATCATTTCAATGTTTGAATTTATGTATATCAAATTTTGTAAATGACATAAATTATAGTGAAAACGAATTTCTGCACAATTGAATTTGCAAAATGACGACTCTTTTGGCGGAAATTAAACTCGAGCATTCCCCCAATTTCCACAATTTTTCCCTCTCGTCATTTAATAAGTTCCTTTTGTTTTTTGTTTTTTTTTTAAATAAGCGATATTATATTATTGATAAGTTCCATGTTTAAGTTGCCAAACAAACCACAACCCGAATTTAATGATAGGACGTACGCTTCAAGAAACTAACATTTTTATCACAAATATGTTTACAAAAACTCTCCATCTACAAATTGCATTATTTACAGACTTCCTAGTTTTCAACTTTATATTAGTATACTGTAGTGGGAATATTTGCTCTTCTAAGTAATTTACAAATTTTCCCCCAAGTTGGGATAGTCCCCCCGGCAGTGTGAAGCTCCATAACTTGTTTTACTTTTTGCCATCTACTTTAAGGTGTTCGATTCTCTGGCGTAGTCTTCTCCGATGATCATGTATCTTCACGAGGCCATGACCCAATATCACGGCAGAGTATATGCCATGTGTGATCATGGGCGCAAGAATATTATTTGTCTGCCAAATTTTTCATAAAACATAAGGAAATTCGATTATTGAGTTTCATCCTCTTCCGTGTATAGTAGGTACTCAATGAATAACAAATTTGCAACCAAGAAACAAAAGTACCTGCATCCACTCAAAACCAAGATATAGGGCCAGAAGTCCTTCAAGCAGGGGAGAGTAGATCTTCTTCATTTGCCTCCTCTGATACCAAGCTGCAGAACGACCACGGAAAAAAAAAATGGTGAAATGATAATTCAGATGTATGTGCTACAGTTGGAAGATTTAGAAACATGTTATTTTGTTTTCTCCACCTTCTTGGAATCAGATGGAGTATAACTATTGTAGTCCTTTAAAAACAGTTTTCTAGGCACTTCGTTGTAGAGAACTTGTAAATTTCGATAAATATCACATTGAAATATAAGCATGAAATAACTGTATAAAATGGAATGATCTCCATAATTGCAAATACCAGCGATCTGTTGAAAGTTTTAATCATCTAATTTGGTTCCACAAACATTAACTAGCTTATTATGTGAAACAAGCTGGAAGCACCGAAAAACCCATGCTCAAGTAAGGAGTTAAACCTGCAAACAGCTTTTTCATCTCTTCACGACCAGAGCGAGATGATAAAACTGGTGCAACTACATAATCAGGATCTGCAAGAACAATTAGCAACTGATCATTAAACTTGCACAAACAAATTTCACCGAAGTTAGTTAAAATGTCATTCAGAGAATCAACCTTTTGGAGAGGCTGCTACATAGTACAGAGAACCTGTAAGAGCAGCTGTAATCACCGCTGCAAATGCCTGAGCAAAAGGGACAAATGGGGGAAAAAATCCGGTCTACAAGTAGAGCGAATTCAGTCATCAGAAAATGTTCATTACTGATGATGATAGTCAAGAAAAGTCAAGAAAACTGCAATACCAGAGACGCCATTCCTCGGGCATCTGTGACCAGATCTGTGCCCCTTAGAAATATATCGGCCAACGATCCCTACAAAGTCATAAATGATTGGGAAAAAAATCATAATGATTTACTTCTCCTACAGAGCAGTGATTCTTGTGCTCATATTGACAAATCGGGAAGATTATAATTTGCAATGATAGTTAGTAACACCTACATTTAAATTGAGTGATATTTTTTAACATATACTAAAGGCTAAATATGTTCAAGGATACCACACCTGAACAGCAGCCCTGTAGAAAAGCTCCTCACCCACAGAGCTTGCGGCAACAATTAGTATAAACTGCGACATTGAAGGAGCAAACATGTCACTTGTTTCTTGCTTTGTCCAAGCAGCACACCATAAAGTGCTTTACAATAACATTACTAAAGATGGTATACCTGCAAAGGTGACATTCCATAAAAGAAGCTGCGGAGCTCCTCATCCTCTACATCTCTAATAGCACGAGCATGTGGCGATAACTTTACAACTTCATCCTATAACCATTTTCACATTCATTAGTCACAGAAGGGGATGAATACAACCTTAAACCAATTCCTTAAATCTCCCATTCTCTTCTTCTTTCTCTATAAATCTAATCTTTTGCAATACACAACTTAACTTGGTATTAGAGCAGCCAATCCAATCCTAGAGGTCTTAAAAAAAATTTAAAAGGGTGAAGGACATCAGTGTCCATAATTACTAGGAACTGATGTTGGGTGTGGACTTTTGTGCTCTATTCAGTTGCCAATGAGAAATACTGATCCTCTTCTCTCTTTTCTATCTTATCTTTCTAAGTTTTCTCTTTACCAAATAATGAAAAATCATTCGTAATCCGTATCATTGCGCAAAATTTCAAAATAAATCAATCAATCAACTTACATCTAGTATAAAGAGAAGGACCATGATTGGTGGAGCTGCATATCCAAGCCCTTGTACAATTGCATCTAAAGATACTTGGAAACCTCCCATGCTATCGATCCCCGTGACGGAGCATATAAATCTTCCTACCACAGCCATTGCACCATATATACCTGTTCACAGAAACCCAATAAAAATTCATCACAAGAAGTATACATAATTCAACAATTCTCTATATAAAAACAAGCAACAAAAAAGGAAAATCAAATTAAATTGTGTATCAAAATTAAATCTTTTATTGGTGAAATTGACAGGATAAGGATTCGTTATCCACAACACACAGGGTGAGAAAAATTAGTAATTACGTTAATTATGAAGCAAGTCAGGGTAATTAGTGGTTAATTATGGTAATTATGGTAGAGCTCACTTACCTATTCCATAGCTAAGTCTAACAACAGCACCAATCTTTTCCCAAACAGGGAACTCAGCTTCGCCGAAGCTCGAATTAAATGTGGTGACCTCCATGGCAGGGCTCGTGAACCCTCCTCCCCGACTCTCTCCGTCTCTTCCATCAATTCCTTCACTGCTGCGTTGCTCCGCCGAGCCCCTAACTACCGAAACCCTAGAAGCTCCGTCGAACAGCGCCGTCCTCCTCTTTCTCGTAGCCGGAAAATGGCAGAGTTTGCCACACAACGACGTCGTTGGAGGATTAGGAGCTGTAAACGATGTGAAAGGAAGCTCCATTTGGTTAAACAAGTAAGGAAATGCCGAAAACCGGTTTGTTCAGACCGAGATATTGAGCCGAGACGAAGTCTTCGTCGTCTTCATCGAGCATGCTTCAGCTTTTGCTTGGTTCAAGTTGGAGCTTCGCAGCTTTTAACTGGTAGTTGTCTGAAGGGATTTGAACCGTTGGATTCGGGTCAGAGAGATCTGACGGTGGAGAGAGAGCAGTGGGGCCCATGGTTGAATTTTGTATTATCGGGTGAAGTAGGATGTGGGAATATCCTAACTGTCTATGGGAAATTGACACGTGGGGATAACGCTGGCTACATGTCAAATGCCTTTTTGTGGCCATCAAGCTAGCGGGCCGGCTGATGGGCCCGATAGTATTTTCAGAGAACCGCGAAATAAAAACAAATATATAAAAGAAAAGAGAGGAATTCCACCTCATATGGAAAAATCTACCAAATCCTTAAAAGCAACACAAATGGAAAGTAATTGAGTTTGCCTCTAAATAAAAGAAGAGAGAAGGGTATTCAAAATCGTTGGTCGTACAAGGAAATGAAAGCTCGGAGAGTCACATAGTCAAGGAGTAGAAAATGGTGTGTCTTTTTGTCTCAACATTGATATAAAGAAGCAGTGGTGGTTCTGGTTCTGGTTCATGGTTGTGCTACTCTTCTTCATATATTAGTGTCAGGGAAAGTCTTGAGATTTTGAAGGCTCTGTGCAAACTTTAAACTGGGGGTCTTACATAAGCTAACACAAATTTACACCATTACGTAATGCCATATAATAAATGTTTTTTTTTTCTTAAAGTGACCAAAGTACCCCTACTCCCAAGGGCAAAATCGAAATTTCACAAAAAGAATTAAATTGGATTAAATCGATTAAATTGGGTCAGGGATGTTACACCTTTTGAATAATCACCATAATTGTGACGATGAATCTTTGTCATAATAGATCATATTCAAATATTAAATATTTTTTAAAGCCTAATTTATTTTGTATAAATATTCCAAGAACATCATTAATTGGATGCAATTTTTTTGGTTGAGTTAGTTGGATGCATTATTTTTGCAAAATTGAATATCTGAGCATATATAAAAACAATCATGTACCACTTTACTCACATATTTAATCGAGGTGAGCCCTATATATGGAAGTCTTATCTCTATGGGCACTTGAAAAAAAAATTCTACATGAGTAATTGAAGAGCTAGGGTCTAGTCAGTGGTGGTGACGTACGCACGGACAAGCAATGTCTGCACATAGGAACATAGATATTATTGGGGCAATTAGAATACTCTTGCTGAAGAAGATATATATAGTGCCATGCATGCAGTTGAGAGATTCAGTGTCATCATTTGAGGAACGAGGTGCTTAGTCATTCGATCTATTTCAATGAAATCATGTGGTTGAGATTGATTTAAGTGTTTAAACTTGTTTGTGTCTAATGATTTGCCAAAAACCCACATGTACGTACGCTTTACTGCGTAGCAAGGCTGCTGTAACTCATCCACATGTTATAATATGGATGGGCGATATGGTTAATATTTCCCACTTTTATGATATAATATCAATAAATATCCACTTATATATTCTAACAAACGAGTAATACCATGTAACATACTCTCATACTACGTACACTATAATTACTCGCACTTAAAGCATCCACAATGGGATCCCTAAACCACCTCCTTAGATAAATTTTGGGAGGAATTGAAAAAATACAACTCCAACCATGCTCCCTATTCACCTCATAAAATAGAGAGACCTCTAGGAACTCCTAAATCTGAGAAGAGAGAAAGGACTCCTAGTGACTCCTTATAATTTAATGTTGTTTCGTTTTATGCATAGTTTAAACTTTTAATTAATACAAACTATTTTTTTTTTTTAAAGATGATAACTAATCATATTGAATTACAAAATAACTATAGTATTTATGACTTCCTAACTTAGGGAGTATGATTCGAGTTCAAATTTTATAGAATTCCAAAAATAACTTTTGTGTGTTTTTAGCTAAATTTTAACTAAAGAATAGGGAGCATGACCTTTGCCTACATAATTACTAACTAATTCCTTGTGATCGAGTATTTATTATTTCAATATGTGGTTGTGAACATGGTCTTAAATATCGATAATATCCCCGATATTATCCCGATAATATCTGATTTTTGGGGGTCCGATATTTTAACAACTTACCATATAGTTATTGTCAATATATCGATATTATCCCGATATTATCGGAAAGATATTTTCAACACTTTAATGAATGATTTGGTCAATATATCGAGATATTATCGATAATATCCCGATA